TTAACACGAATCCACATTTTCGGTTGGGGAGGGGGGTTCTAAGGTCCCTTTTAGTTGATTTATTTTATACATTAAATAACATGGAGAGAACGATCATAGGCATTTATGCCTGCTGTTCAATCCATTTCTTAATGAATAAATATATTTTAAACTAACTTTTAGTTGGTTTATTTTGTGCATTAAATAACTTTACAAATTCAGAGGGGTGTTCCGGACTCCTCTCTCTAGATCTATGCATGTAAAACATATTTTATTTGTACAAACAAAGAAATATAAATGTTTGATCGGCGTTTTCTAAGTGGAGGGTCCAAGGTCAGTTATACCGGTAATTCGTTTAGTTTATTTAACGTATGACTGTACAAATTTTAAATGCCCCCCCCCCCCCCCCCCGATCTATGCATGTGAAACATTGATTATCACACACAGAGATTTGAGGAAATCATTAACTATAGAATATAATGGAAAACGGAAATTTATTTTCAAAACATCTTTCTCTGCGAAACGACAAATCGTTTTTAGTAGTATTCTCTCTTCGAAGGTTTTGTTGTCTCCGGGGGAGGGGTGGGGGGCTTCTTTAAAGATTAAAAGCAGAAAATAGTCATTTTATTACCTATTTCAAATGGGAAAACAAATAAAAAAAAATAAACAATGTACTTTATCAACCGCATATATTGAATATTACATAAAATAAAACATATTGCTCATTTTATTCAATTCAATTTTACCAGGGTGACCCCCTTGGAAAAAATGTCCTGGATCCGTGCCTTTTTCCCCCTTTTTTTGTGAAAATTCATATGAATATCAATACAAATATAAAATTTATTCAAATATGTGTGGCAGTTGGCAGTAAGCAGCTTACAGTTGGCAGTAAGCAGTTGGCTGTCGTATATGGCATTATGGAATGCCATATACGACAGCCAACTGCTTACTGCCAACTGCTGACTGCTTACTGACAACTGTCAGCTGCTTACTGCCAACTGCCACACATATTTGAATAAATTTTATTTTCATATTGATATTTATGTAAATTTGAAAAAAAAGGCGCGGATCTATAGGACATTTTTTCTAAGGGAGTTACTCTGGTAAAAAAATCCAACCCAGAAATTTCTTGACAAGAAAAAAATACGAAAATACCTTTCCTAAATGTGAAAATTTATTTCGGCCGGGGAGAGGGGGTTCTTATGCGTCATACCTTCATGGGTATGACATTTTTCATACCAACTGAACACGAATCCACATTTTCGGTTGGGGAAAGGGGGGGGGGGGGTTCTAAGGTCCCTTTTAGTTGATTTATTTTATGCATTAAATAACTTTTAGTTGGTTAAGTTTGTGCATTAAATAACTTTACATTTCAGAAGGGTGTTCCGGACCCCTCTCTCTAGATCTATGCATGTAAAACATATTTTATTTGTACAAACAAAGAGATATAAATGTTTGATCGGCGTTTTCTAAGTGGAGGGTCCAAGGTCAGTTATACCAATAGTTCGTTTAGTTTATTTAACGTATTACTGGACAATTTTTAAATGCCCCCCCCGATCTATGCATGTGAAATTTTACAGGGACGTAGCAACGGGGGGGGGGGGGGGGGGGGGGGCTGCCCCCCTTTTTTTCCCCCAACATTACCGTTACTGTATATTGAAAGGATGGTTGCCCCACCCCACTTCTTACCATAGTATAATGATATCAAGGATATGTAGTATTGTGTGGAAAAAAATGTAAGTGAAAGGTAGTTGGCCTTAAAATAAAGTTAGCCCCGCCCCCCCCCCCCCCCCCCCCCCCCCGAAATAGGATTTTCCTTTTTTTTTTTTTTTGCTTGTCAACTTTTTCAGGGTAAGTAAAAAAAAAAATTCTGTGGCTGCCCCCCCCCCCCCCACTTTCAAAATCGATGCCACATGCCTGCATTATAACACACAGAGATATACATCTTTAATTTGAGGAAATTTTTTAACTACAGAATATAATGGAAAACGAAAATTTATTTTCAAAACATCTTTCTGTGCGAAACGACAAATCTTTTTTTTATTATTATTCTCTCTTCAAAGGTTTTGTTGTCTCCTGGGGAGGGGGGGGGGGGGGCTTCTTTAAAGATTAAAAGCAGAAATAGTCATTTTATTACCTATTTCAAATGGGAAAACAAATCAAAAAAAATTAACAATGTACTTTATCAACCGCATATTTTGAATATACATAAGATAAAACATATTGAACATTTCATTCAATTCATTTTTACCAGGGTGACCCCCTTGGAATAAATGTCCTGGATCCGTGCCTTTTTTCCCTTTTTTGTGAAAATTCATATAAATATCAATACAAATATAAAATTTATTCAAATATGTGTGGCGGTTGGCAGTAAGCAGCTGACAGTTGGCAGTAAGCAGTCAGCAGTTGGCAGTAAGCAGTTGGCTGTCGTATATGGCATTCCATATGGCATTCCATACCCTCTTGGAAAAAATCCTGGATTCGCTTCTGTTTTTTTTTTAAATTCACATAAATATCAATATAAATATGAAAAATTATTCAAATATGTGTGGCAGTTGGCAGTAAGCAGCTGACAGTTGGCAGTAGGCAGCTGACAGTTGGCAGTAAGCAGTTGGCTGTCGTATATGGCATTCCATACTATGGAATGCCATATACGACAGCCAACTGCTTAATGCCAACTGCTGACTGCTTACTGCTAACTGTCAGCTGCTTACTGCTAACTGCCGCACATATTTGAATAAATTTTATTTTTATATTGATATTTATATGAATTTTCAAAAAAAAAAAAAAAAAAAAAAAAAAAAAAAAAAAAAAAAAAAACAGGCGCGGATCCAGGACATTTTTCCAAGAGGTCAACCTGGTAAAATTAAATTGACTAATAAATGACCATTAGATTTTAATTTATGTAATATTCAATATATGCCAATGATAAAGTGCGTTTTTTATTTTTATATTTATTTTCGTATATAATTATTTGAAACAGGTAATAAAAAGACTATTTTCTGCTTTTAATCTTTAAAGAAGTAAACCCCCCCCCTCCCCCCGGAGAAAACAAAACCTTTGAAGAGAGAAAATTGAACAAAAAAATTTGGTGTTTCGCAGATAAAGATGTTTTGAAAATAAATTTACATTTTCCATTATATTCTATAGTTAAACATTTCCTCAAATTAAAGATGTATATCTCTGTATGTTTTAATGTTTCACATGCAAAGATCATTTAAAATTTGTACATGGGTTAATGTATAAACTAAACGAACTAAAACTGATCTTGGATCCTCCACTTAGAAAATGCTGATCAAACATTTATATCTCTTTGCTTTTACAAATAAAATATATTTTTCATTCATATATCTAGAGAGAGAGATCCGGACCACCACTCTGAAATTTGTAAAGTTATTTAATGCACAAACTAAACCATCTAAAAATTATTCAATGTGTAAAAATGCAGATTTGTGTTAAGTTGGTAACAAAAATTGTCATAGACATGAAGGTATGACGCATGAGAACCACCCTCTCCCCGGCCGAAATAAATTTTCACATTAAGGAAAGGACTATACGTTTTTTTTTCTTGTCATGAAATTTCTGGATTGGATTTTTTTAAACATGAGTGACCCTCTTGCAAAAAATTTCTAGATCCGCGCCTTTTTTCACATAAATATCAATATAAAAATAAAATTTATTCAAATATGTGTGGTAGTTAGCAGTAAGCAGCTGACAGTTGGCAGTAAGCAGTCAGCAGTTGGCTGTCGTATATGGCATTCCATCGCGCCTGTTTTTTTTTCTTCTTCTTCTTTTTGAAAATTTATATAAATATCAATATTAATATAAAATTTATTAAAATATGTGTGGCAGTTGGCAGTAAGCAGTCAGCAGTTGGCAGTAAGCAGTTGGCTGTCGTATATGGCATTCCATACGTTGCATAATTTACTACGTGCAAAAAAAAAAAAAAAAAAAAAAAAAAAAAAGTCAGTGATTAACACAGAATTATCTCGGTATGTAATTACTGTATTTTCCATATGTACAATGTGGAGAATATTTATAAACTGTGACTGTGTTTGAGCTATTATTCGTCTGAGGACATACCCAAAAAGCTGTATAGTTTAAGGGAGAACTCTTTTTCAATTTTGAGATGAAAATTTCATTATCACCCCCTTTTCTTCCATTTATTTAATATTCGAATGTTGTTTCATTATTCGATCGTCGCCCCATTGGACTGATAGTCGATTAGTCGACTATTCGTTGACATCCCTAGTTTCAACACATCCCATTTTACTCAAAATAAAAAGACTCCACAAAGCCTTATATATATATACATGTATATATATCTTTCATATTTGAATTATTGCTAAAGAAATACTAGTACATTATTTTTTATATGTTTTTTTTTAGTTTGCCTTTGAGTTTTGTAAACTTGATGACTTCAACTTTTCTATCACCAGCTTCCTTTTATGTAGCAACATAATGTTAGCATCAACATGAGGGGTTCATGTTTACTATAGTCCCAAAGCTTGTCATAAAAAACATTTTTTTTAGAAAAGCTATTTACAAATAAGCTGATTTTTAGAACACCAACAGAGGTTACCTTTAAATGAAATTAATTTGGCAGCTGTCAGAAAGGTATCAGAAAAGCTGTACACATCATTCAATAAAATTGTGCGAAAAGATTTCTACGCAAGTTGATTTTAAATAATATTATTTAATTTTAAAAGTTTTGCAGAGGAAGTTACAATTGGGTTGAAAAAAAAAACAAGACGTATTAATGTAACCTGACTGAGCAAATTCGTTAAATTAATGGCATAAAAATAGAAAAAAAAATTACGAGAGGCTCCTTAAAATTATAGGGGAACCAAAAATAATCTCTGTACAAGGAAATAAATGACTTAATTATATAATGTAAAATTTAAAAAGCGGAATATGAATCATACACAGTGTTTAAATACCTTCTCTTATACGCTACTTTGTAAACATACACTTACAATCCTTATATAAGTACACATAGTCTGTAAAAAAACCTAAAATGATGAAGAAGACAGCTTTGTGACTCAGATGTTTTGAAATACCGGAAAGTTTTAAAAAATACTTTTAAGTATGTGGGTCATGTAATTCCATTACGAAGAGAAAGAGAGATTGATGAACAGGATAGACACACAGACATTAAAATTAGGTAATAGTTAAAAGATTTATCATTTTATTGTTTATTTTTCAATAAAACAACATAAAAAATAATGTGTTTAAATATTATTTTGAGTTTAATTAATATACCTTGAAATTTAACTTCATGAGTAAAAATTAGATTTACGGCATGAATTTCAGTTCCTTTTTATTTGACTCATGAAGAATTCTTTTTCAATGACATTATGCTTTGTGTACTTTTGAAATAATTTTAAATATCGAATGAGACTTTCACAGAATCTTTATTACATAGTGCCATTGTGCACCTCTTATTTAACTTTTTAATCAGAAACATATTTTGGGTTTCCCATAGCAAAACATCGACACTGCCATATTGTAATTTGAAGGGTACCCATCTTTTATCAGCATCCTATACCAATGAATCAAATTTAATGATACTTTCACAAACATTTGTTCTTTATTGCACAACGCCATTGTGCACCTCCTATTTTACTTTTTTGTCTGCCACTTGCTTTGGGTCTCTGAGAGGTGGAGGGTTATCATTTAGTGAGCTCAGTGTTCACAGTACCTCTAACTTTTTCTGTGTTAACTCGCGTTTTCTTTTTGAATCTATTAACATTCTTTCCTTTATTTCTACAATTTATTTCACATATCAATGCTAACTTCGCCTGATATAAAAATTATCCCACGTTTCAAACTATGGTTGATACCCTCACATACCCTACAAACTAGACAGTGATTCAATAAACAGTTAAGTCATTTAATTTAAAGTGCTTTAAGAATATTTAGAAGCACAATTTTCCTCTATTTTAGGTATGTTTTAATCATGGACCCCCGTACCAGTGCTCAGGATGTAATGCGATGTGCCCTGTGTGAGACCACTGTGGTACAGATGCACTGTGATACATGTCTTGTCAACCTGTGTAAAGCCTGTGTGGGAGAACATACGATTTCCGATGAATCCAAAAAACATGAAATTGTTACAAGCAGTCTTCGAAAATCTACTCCCCTCTACCCTGGATGTAATTTTCATGTCAAAGAACAATGTGAAATGTACTGTAATCAATGTGACATTCCTGTGTGTGTCACATGCATTGCTTCAGACAAACATTTAGACCATGATGTGTTAAAAATTCTACGAGTTCTTGATGAAAGAAAGGAAAAGATCACCAGGAAACAAATGGAGCTAAAGGAGACGATATGTCCAACATACATGGCTATTGCTTCTGATGTACAAAACAGAATTAGTCAGTTAGAAAAGAATTATGGATATCTTTCAACCGCCATGATAGAACATGGAGATACCTTGCACAGAGAAATTAGCAAACTTGAGACCAAACTTCATGCTGAAGTTCATGAAATGAAAAACAAACAGTTAAAAACTTTGCAGAAACATCTGGATGAAGTAACCAGTACAATATCTGATATTAAGAATGAAATCAGTTTCATTGAAACTTTCGTTGATTCTAATGACACAACAAAGCTCTTAGACATTAATTCTATACCCAATATAGGCAAATATAAAAATCTTCCGCCAAAAATTTTGCCGTCTTTACCAAAATTTACACCTGGAAAAATCCTAGGAGAAGAGACCAGCAAACTTTTCGGCGTCTTAGCCCCGAGTTCTTTAACATTAGATAAACATGGCTACAGCATGAAGACAACACAGAAATCACCAGAAGCTGGATCCTCTCCTCCAGTCAAACAGCTTCTTGATGAACCAGAGACTCTCAGCACCAGAGACACTGGATATGAAAATCTACTCAATGTGGCCTGTCGGAGTGATGAAGAAATCTGGACAAGTGGAACTGACAACACCATGAAACTCTACAGCATCAATCAGGGATCACTACTCAAGTCAATCACAACCAAGTCAGGAAACAAGCTATATGACTTAGCAGTAACGAACAATGAAGATCTAGTTTATACCGATCACATGAATAATTCAGTGAATATTGTGAAGAATGAAGGGATAGAAGAGATAATCAAAACACAAAAATGGGGTCCTTACAGTGTCTGCATAACGTGCTCTTTTGATTTGCTGGTCATCATGTATAATATTCGAGAAAAACAATCAACGGTTGTCCGTTACTCCGGCTCCACAAAGAAACAAACCATTCAGTTTGATGATCAAGGTAAACCTCTCTATTCTACGGGTTTTTATTACAGACATATAACTGAGAACAGGAACCTGGATATCTGTGTGTCTGACAATAAAGCTGGAGCAGTAGTGGTGGTCAATCAGGCCGGGAAACTGAGATTCAAGTACACTGGACGTACGCCTGGTCTAAAGATTGAGCCATTCAATCCACGAGGAATCACCACAGACAGTCAGAGTCACATCCTTACAGCTGATGATAATAACCAATGTGTCCACGTCATAGACCAGGATGGGCACTTCGTCCGTTATATAAACCTTGGTCTGAGAGAGCCAATGGGACTGTGTATAGATTCAAATGATTATCTGTTCGTTGCTCAGTATAGAAATGGAAAAGTGAAGAAAATCAAATATCTGCTGTGAAACCATCACAAAGAAATTACATTAAATCATGGCAATAATTTCAATGGATGCACTATTTGTATATGATGTCATTATTTTTTCATCTGAATGCCAATTATTATATGTAAGTTAAGATGAATTTAATGTTCTATTGTTCATATCTGAACATAATAGTTTTTGTTCTCGTAGCTCTATATAAAAAATAATAAATCAAGATGAAATAAATGTGTATTCCATTGATTATAAATGATCAACTGTTTATCTTTGTTAATCATTACTTATTATGTTTGATTTAATGTTTTATTGCTTGGTAATTTCAATCTTTTTGTTCGCTGCCTATGTCCCTTTAAAACTTTTTATCCCAAACAGGGCTCCTTTTTTCATTGAAGGAAAAGTGAACATGTCGATACTCAGTTATGGTAGCACTTAACATGCATTCTCTGTAAGCACCAAAAAATTTTGGAAACGACATATCTCCGATTTTGATGAAATTTGCACCACATGTGCACCTTGGTACAAAACCAGCAAATATGGTGTTAGAAGTTTTCCACATGCACCCGGTTGCCATGGAGACGGATCCATTGAATTTGGCCATTTTCGGCCATTTTTGACCAAACAAAAACATGAAAATTGAGGAAATATGAATGCATTTTTATCTTTATGTAGTGAACTCAAATATAAATCTATGTATCATAAGAAAACATCAACTGTTAAAGAATACAGGGCATATAACCAGTTATTCCAGAATTGACCCCACTCTTATAAAACGGTTCTGCAAAATAGCATAGTTTCTAAAAATGTGGAAAATGGCATTTGGCATTTGGCCAAAAAAAAAATTGGCATTTTTTGAGAAATTTAAGGTCAAATAAAAAAAAATTGTCTACGGAAAATTTTTCAAATCATATGCGTGTCGTCAAACGTCAGTATTAGTAGTGTCCCCTCATGAAAAAAATGGAGTGGGATCTCAATGCTATTTTTAGTAACATGTATCTAAAAATAGACATATTTCAGAAAAATCCAAAAAATGAAATTTGGGCAGAGTTTAAGATGCCATTGCTAGGTAATTATGAAATATACTGTAAAAGTCAATAATTATGCTAATGTCAGAGACTGGACACCAATAACTACCATGCATATTATTTTCAGGGATTTCCGTTTTCTATTTATAGCTTCAAATGCCTAAATATAGACATGACTCATAAAATGATGAAAAATGTCAATTTTCCATCATTTTGAAGCTCCACTGAATCATAAATGATAAAAATATGGATTTCTCCAATATTTCATCAATACGAACAAGGAATAGTATAATATCTCACAAATTATTGAGGACAGGCTCTCATCTCTATAAATAGTACAAATGTCTAAAAATAGACACATTTGAAATTAACTGTTTAATGTTGATTTTCCACTAATTCTCAAATTAGAGATTGGAAATTTACTGACTTACTGTCATTAACTGTAACTGATATTATGTGACTGACAAGAACAAAAGAACATTCAATGGAATGCAGCATGATAAGCAGAAGTTTCCATTTCTATTTATAGTAACACATGTTTAACAATAGACGTAATGCAAAATATCGGGAAAATGTCGTTTTTTGTACTTTTTTCTAAAATTTTGGATGAATAATTGCTGACTATCTGTTTTTAACTGCTATTGGCATATGGTGACCAACAAGTAAAAGAAAGCCTTATATCAAATACAAAATGAGAACCAGTGGTTTCCATTTCTATTTATAGTAACACATGTTTAAAAATAGACGTACCGCAAAATATCAGAAAAATATTTTTTTGGTACTTTTTTCTCACATTTTGGATGAACAATTGCAGACTACATGTATATGTTTTTAACTGCTTTTGGCATATGGTGACCAACAAGTAAAAGAAAGCATATACGAAATACAGAATGAGAAGCATAAGTTTCCATTTCTATATGTTTGAAAATAGACATACTGCAAATTCTCGAGAAAATATAGACTTTTGCATTTTTTTAACATCAGGAATGGACAATGTGCAAACAAACAGCTGATATTTTTTATTGACGGAAGGTGACTAACGACTGTGAAAAAGCTTTAGCAAAAATGTATAAGAATAATGTGTAAGGGTATTTTTCCATTTCTTCCTTTACTAATGTATAGTTTTAAATAGACATTCAGCAATTAATCAAGAAAATGAAGAATCATTCTATTTTCTCAAATTAGGGATAGGAAACTGCAGTCAAACTTTCATTAGCTGTAACTGACATAATGTAACCGACACGTACAAGAGAGCAGTAACCGAAATGCACAATAAGGTGGGTTTCCATTTCTATTTATAGTAACACATGTTTTAAAATAAAGGCTTAAGTGAGATTTTATGATCATTTGTGCCTTGTCAGTCGTTGTCGTTCTTATTGAAAACTTTTTATATTTTCATCTTCTTATCAAGAACCACTGGGTTAATTTCAATTTAACTTGCCGCAAAGTATCCTTGAATGAAGGAATAAAACCTTTTCTCTGTTCGATTTTTCACTAAGCTAATAATTTATATTTCTGACCAATATTAGTGTGTTTCAATGCCTATTAATAGCAAAGCCATTTCTGTAACTAAAGTTACTCCCCATCCTTCCATGAAGACAAGTTAATTTTTAGTAGTAGTAGTATTTTAAAACGTAACAAGGAATATTTTTCAAACACTGATGCCAATGTATGGCAGCTTATTGCCATGAAAATCAAGTCTTTAAAAAGGAGAAAAAACTCTAGGGTCATAACAAAATATTGGTGAATTTTTAATTTGTTACATTCGTGTCGGAAGCAAATTAAAAGTGAAAAGGGGGGTCCAAACATGAAATCCTATTTCATGGGAGGGGGATTGAACTTCTTTCAGTACCATTTTTTTTTCTTTCAAACACTACCACTTACCCTTATTTGACTACACTGCAACATGCCTGCTGAAAGGGGGAGGCTAAATCTACTCCCCAATGTTTATTACCTATATGATGTCTATCTTTGACCCCCTCCCCCCCCCCCCCCCGGTTCCAACACCTACATGTTTATACATAAAATAAATTTTAAAAACCAAAACAACAAATATTCATAAATGCTTTAGTTAAAGTCTAGAGAAATATATACATGCATGTATATAGAGAGAGAAATCGAAAGAAAGCCAACTCAAAAAATTTGGGCAAATTTTGGATAACTTTTGAACAAATTGTGGTAAGGCATGCATGGATAAAAGGGGATCTGGATCCCTGGAATATTCAACTTTATTAACCCTCTCCCCCCAAACGAAGTTTGGGGGTATATAGGAATCAGCTTGTCCGTCTGTCTAGCTGTCCATCTGTCCATCTGTCTGTGCAAAAGTGTCCGGTCCATATCTTTTAAGGATGACGTTTACTCAGGTTTCAGAAAACAGAAAGGAAATTTTATAAAGTATAATATGTTTAATCAAAAATTGTGATAAGGCATGCATGGATCAAAGGGGATCTGGATCCCTGGAATATTCAACTTTATTATACCCTCTCCCCCCCCAAACGAAGTTTGGGGGTATATAGGAATCAGCTTGTCCGTCTGTCTAGCTGTCCATCTGTCTGTGCAAAAGTGTCCGGTCCATATCTTCCTTAAGGATGACGTTTACTGAAGGTTTCAGAAAACAGAAAGGAAATTTTATAAAGTATAATATGTTTAATCAAAAATTGTTCTAAATGGATAAAATAAGCAAGTTTTAAATCAAAATCAATTAAAAAATTTAATATTTTATTATTTCAAGAAAATATGCAGGAACAAAAGTCAATGTGTGGTAATGCAGGGGAAATTCGGATAAAATTTTCAATTTTTTATTTTTGTCAAAAATTTTTATTTCTTGCCATATTTATCATAAAGTAAAGGTTACATGTAATTTCAAACATCATTTTACAAATATTATATGTGCTAAAGCTCATTAATTATTTCAAATAATTGAATACTGTGAAATAAAGAAATTCAAAAATATGTACAAAAACCATTCCAGACAACATATCTCAATAATTTGATCATTGACCCCATATAATAATATCATAAGAATTAGGGCAACAAAAGTGATATAAGGTTATAAATAATTTAGAGTTCTTATCAGTCAATTTTTTTTAAATATTGGATTAAAAATGGGGAAAA